AACTGTGTAGAAATCACTGTGGCAACTCCGTTGTTTTTCAACGAATCTTGACGATTTTTTTTAACTTAAAGCTCTTTTCATAAGCTTTCCGAATATGTAATAATATATAACTATATCGCGTTCGAGCGTCGTATATTTCAGTTTGCAACTAAGGCTATAAAAAAAATGCAAATTTGAAATTAAAAAAAAATAATGGATTTCAACGTATTATTATGAAATCTACCTTAAAAAAATCAGTGCGATTGTGGAAGATCCTCGGGATCGTCCAGACTAATAATTAGTTAATTTGTTTATAAGGCAATGACTTGTAAACTATTCAACTTACCGATTCCAGATTTCGTGTTATTAGAGTTATTAGTCAGTGATAAGGAATGAGAGGATGCCATGCCAAAACGTTCTGGTAATAATAACGCAGTTAATAAATGTTTAATTCAAAAGTCATAAATAAACTTGTTCTCTTTATAACTTTTGATCTAATCAATATTTTTGATTCTCGAGGGCTAGTTTTGTAGGTCTTTTGAGGCAGAAAAAAAGTACTTTACTGTTTTCTCGTGGAAATGAACGGAAAAAAGTTATAAGCGAAAAACGTGAATTTACGTAAAAATGATACATTTCCCCATTTTTATGACTGTGGAAACTATAGTCTGTTTGGAAATGAAAGAGAGTAATAAAACCCCGAGATAAGAACCGGCCATGGGCGTGGTAATATTTCGTTTCAGGTAATTATCGGGTAACACTAATGCTAACAAAAATGACAGGGATTGGAAAATCGACAATCTACAGACTTTTAAAGGAAACAAAAAATGAACAAGATACTGTAAATCCCCCAAAATCATCTACAGGGAGGTCAAAAGTCGTTATAGATGATTTCTTCAAAAATGTCATTCGCAGAAAAGTACACTCATTTTATTTTAAAAAAGAAATACCAACGCTAAACAAAATTTTAAGTGAACTTTCAGAGGACAACGATTTGCCAAAAATCAGTAGAAGCAAATTATGGGCCGTCTTACGAGAGTTGAATTTTTGCTGGGAAAAGCAGAACAGGAAGTCAGTTCTTATCGATAAAGATGAAATTATTTGTTGGCGAAGATCCTACTTAAGATCAATTAGAAAATTCCGTGACGAAGGGAGGAATATTTATTATCTAGACGAAACTTGGGTCAACGAGGGATATACTGTAACAAAAGTATGGCAAGATAAAAATGTAAAAAGTTTTCGACAAGCATTTTTGGATGGACTTTCAACAGGGTTCAAGGCACCTTCAGGTAAAGGGCGAAGATTAATAGTGACACATATAGGTAGTGCCAGTGGTTTTGTAGATGGCGGTTTACTTTTATTTGAATCTAAAAATACAGGTGACTATCACGAAGACATGAACGCAGATGTTTTCGAAGAGTATTTTACACAGATGTTGGATCTTATTCCTCCGGGGTCTGTAATTGTCATGGATAATGCCAGTTACCATTCACGGCAGACCGAGCGGACGCCTACGACTGCTTGGAGGAAAGCCGATATAATTCAATGGTTATCCGGAAAAAACATTTCTTTTGAAACAAATATGGTGAAAAAGGAACTTTTGACACTTGTCAATCTTAATAAAGATCAGAAAAAATATGTTATCGATGAAATGGCAACAAATCGCCAAATAACGGTACTACGGTTACCACCTTATCACTGTGAACTTAACCCAATCGAATTAGTCTGGGCGCAGGTAAAAGGAGATGTAGCGCGAAATAATACGACGTTTAAATTAAGTGACGTGAAAATTTTGTTAAAAAATTCCTTGGAACGAGTAACTGCAGATAACTGGCAAAGATGTATACATCATGTACAAAAAGAAGAGGAGAAAATGTGGGAACTCGATAATTTAATTGACGTTACTGTGGAACCTATCGTTATCAATCTAGGAGACGAAGATAATTCATCAGAATATTCAGAGGATGAATTTTAATATACCTACTTTTTTATTTTCTTTATTGTACATTTATACAACACTACATTTACTCACCATAATTTGAATTTTCAAAATACATATATTTTTGTGTGGAATAAAAGTCTATTCATTAAATTTAAATAAATATTTTGATAATAATATTGAATAATTTTATTTGAATTACTAAAAACCCTCTTAACCCGGTTATGATGCTTAAAGTAGCCTCATGTTTTGAAATGCTGTTTTTATATTGTTTACTTATAAGAGAAATGGACCGAGAAATTGAAGCGGCATAGACAAAGACGGATTGTCGGGGATTAAATTTTAGCTACCTGCTACAATTTAGTACAGTCCGATCGCACAGTTTTGTTAAAAGTACACCTCATCTATACCGATAATACATAATATAAAAATATTGAATATAAGCACCAGTTATTTACGATTTGCATACATAATGAGCTTTTATTACTCTCTTTCATTTCTAAACAGACTATAATATGTTATTGTACATAATATTTAGCATATATAGTGATAAATTCAGCTTGCCGAAACAAAAAGTCGCGTCCAACTCTATATTTCCTGTCCTACATTATTATACCTACATATTTGCATCAGTAATCCATTTACGTTTACATTCCATCCAAAATAATGAATAAGCGACTTTTTCGGGACCTTCTGTTTTAATTTAAGAGTTTCGTTATTAACAAAGCTTGGCTAAAGCATTAGTAAATATTTTTAAAATTGTAATCCTGATCTACAACAACAAACAAAAGTTTGGCACACGACTTCTAACAACACCACAATGTAAACCGTAAAAAACATTTCGGTCAGCAGCTTTACAAATATGTTAAAAACAACACAAGGACGCGTATCCAAAAAAAAAGGACGAAACACGTATATTTACATGCTGATTGACTGTAGGCGATGCTTTTGTTTTGAAAATTAACCCAGCCTCCGTATATAAACATCCATTATTCGGCAAAATTACGCTCTTCCCCAAAACTCTATCCAATTACCGAAGTCGGCCCACACGCTGGCTAAATATCTCCTCTCTTTTTTGGGGCAATATTGGCCGGGACCAGCCATTAATATCAATTAAACTGTAACAATAACAGACGGGAAAATAAATTGGGGAGTGCGGTTCCAAAATCAAACACACTTAATTTTAACGACGTCGGCTTGGTCAGTTACGTAAGAGTTCCGCTGTTCGTAGGTAGATGGCCTTCTAAATTTAATCCCGGGTTTCGCCTTGGGCTTGATAGATTCTCTCAGAGGTCGTTCTACTATTTGGGAGACGCACTGAGGATGACAGGTGGTAGCAATTTTGGGGGAATTGTAATAAAACAGATCGCAATCGAGTAGGATTTGTCAACGTTTCACCCTCAAAGGTCACGATTAGGGTAGGCCACCTTAAAGGTCACACTAGTGCGAATTGGGATTTTGCCAACTTTGAACATTTATGTCTTCTTCATTTATTAACGAAGCGTCTTTATTTCAAAACTGGGGTAAAATTTTCCAAGAAATCGAATGATGTAATTCGGTTTAAAAAAAAATTAATTTGTTGATAAAAAATGCAATTAAAAAAAATTTTCGAAAAATTATTTTTTATTAATATTGGCTGGAAAAAAGTAAAAAAATCATTTTGAACTTTACACAGTCTACTATTTTTATACACACTATCTCTACAGTCTATTTTTTTAAGAACAAAATACCCCATATTGATAAAATGATATCGATTTTTCCCGGTATCTGGAATATACAGGGTGTTTGGAAAGTTGGTACAAAATTTAAGGGGGTGAAAGTCGGGCCAAAAATAGTAACAAAAGTTCCTATAAACATTGGTCCTCCGGAGCACCGTTACTGAGATATGGAGCTCCAAAGGGGTCTTATCATTTGGATATTTTTTAAAATAACTTAAGTCACTTGAAAAGGGAGAAATCAGTTATTCCTTTTTCCTGCAAAATTTTAAATTGTGGATAATATGTGTTTTGCATCTATACGCCTCAAATGTTTCTGTTCTGAGCCATAAATTATTTAAAAAATAATTCTGACTAAAAAAAAGTAGATATTTTTTCTTCAAAAAAGTCCAATTCATTAAAAAATAATATTATTTGCTTGATAATTCAAAGGAATAAAAAAAATTCGAAAAATTTCTGTTAAGAGTAGTTACAAAACTATCCTTATTTATAACCGATTTTGATTAAACTTATGGTAGTTAAAGACCCTTATGGTATGATTATTAATCAGAAAGAAATTTATTTTAAGATATGCAAATGATAAGACCCCTTTGGAGGGCCATATTTCAGTAACGGTGCTCCGCAGGACCTATGTTTATAGGAACTTTTTTTACTATTTTTGGCTCTTCTTTCACCCCCTTAAATTTTGTACAAACTTTTCCAAACACCCTGTATGTATTTTTTGAAGTTGTGATCTTTGGCTCCTTTTCTGTAAATTCATGTTTATTTTGCACTCTTAAAAATATTAAAATATTAATTTAAACAATATTATCCACAAATATTCACAAATACATGTTACAATTATACTATTAACGAAAAAAAAATGTTTAAAAATTATTAATAATAACTAAATAAACAATGTTCTAATCTATTCGACACGTAAAATAAGGTGAAAAAAAATAAAAAATGTGCATTTCAATTCACTTTATTTCTAGATTATATGATATAAATTCAGTCACATATTTGTCCACACTAAAGTCACACTAGTGCGAATTCGCACCGATCGGACTTGTCGGACTCTCTAGTTTGTCCGACAATCGCAGATTGAGGCTGTGGTACGGCTCGACTGTTTGGGCTATAGAAGGAAAAAATCGGTGGTGTAAATTCGCACTAGTGTGTGTCACTGTAGCCTTTCGATATGGTCTAATGTGAACAACTAAAAAAATAAATTCGAACGGCAAATTTAAACAATTATTTCAATTTTCAGTATTCCAGCTTTATTAATTTAAACAAAAAAATGTCCTGAACGTGTTACTGTCCACATTGCTCAAAACTATATATTTTTAAGTTCATTGCAAAAATCCATTACTCACTTCCCTGTTACATTTCAGGTGATCAAGAAGGCTGCCGACATAAACTTCATTGGCCCCACCAGGGTGACCCAGATCATGCTGCCCTTAGTCCGCCGCGCTAGAGGTCGCATAGTAGTGGTGTCTTCGGGTCTATGCAGGGTTGCTTCCCCCGTAAGGGGCATCCATTGCGGGCTGTTGGCAGCACTGGAATCGCAAGCGGAGTGTTTGAGGAAGGAACTGAGGTCTAGAGGTGATTATGATAACGTTAATTTAGAGGTTGAAGTGAATAGGGTGGCTAAGGCTTTGCGCACACGAAGAAATTGGGAATCTAAAGGCGTGTGCAGACTATAGCTTCAAATTTTAAAGAATTGGGAGTAATATACAGAGTTGTGTAGTCGTGTGGCAAAGTGGAACAGTTGTTATTTTGAATTTATTTGAGATTCATGCATTTTTTAATTTTTTTCACGTTAGTTAGATTTGATAATTGTTTAATTTTTCCAAATTACTGAATTAATTCGAATAACTAGACTAATTTGGGTTAAAATACTAGATAATTAGGTACACAAACACTTTTAAAATATATGGTGAGAAAAATTGGCGTCAAAGAATAAAAAAATGTACAAACTGAGACACTTAAAATGCAGGATGTTGCATTTTTAAATACGAGAAAATGTCTTTTAAAATTTGTCGGTATGTCCATGGAAAGCACCCTGTATAAAATAAGAAACTTTGACAGCTTATTGATTCATTTATTTACAGCAATTAAATTACAATACAAAAAAGAACACATTCAAACAAAACATTAAATTAGGTACCTATGTTAAAAAAATTTAGTTGTCTATAAATAAAAAACTGAACAAAATATTGTATGGTCATAAATAGTGAATCATTAAAGTACAATTATTTTTAAAAATATACAATTATTAATGAGTAAAAAAACAGCATACGATTATAGATTTTGACAGACAAAAAAAAAGCTTCAGCTTTTTTATTTCATTTCTGACTTTTTTGTAAACTGATAGACACATCAATAACAATTATTAGGTAATGCGGTCATGTGTAGTAGATGAAAAACTTATTAGTGGTGGGCATTTGTGTAGAAATTACTACGCGTAAGTTGGTTTGTTATCTTTTCGTTTGTAACCAATAATTCTGTCAAATCTCAACCGATTTCTAAAAACGGTACGTCACTGTATTCGCAATGAAAAGGGCTTTAAAATGATGTGCCACAAGTGGGGTAGTTGCATTTGAAATTTTTAAGTTGGGGTTGCTAGGCATTAGGGGGATGAACATATCGAGTTGGCTTGACTGTCAAAAAAGCTCCCCCCAAGAACAAAAATCGACGGGTCTCGGCGAATTTTGAAATATTATTCGGTTTTCCAATTATAGGGGGGGTCAAATTTTCGTTGGGATACCCTGTATA